GGAGAATTCCAAGTTGCCCGTCGTCGTGGAACCGAAAAGTCCGGTCATGTAGCCTTAATTCCAGAAAAGCACAGCGAAACGACCACGAGGACTATAAACAATTTAATTAACCAAGGCCCCGGGCCCCCGGCTGGAAGTGGAAGAGGACAACGTTCGTAGCGTACGCGCGGGCCAGGCCACCGCATAAATCAAAGCTCCTTTATTTGCCTGGTTCGACTATTAATGAAGCACGGGTCCGTCGGCTGTTGGAGCAGCGACGGACGACGACTAAATTAAATGAACATCTAAATCGTCGAATCCCCGGCCACCACAAATCTCTCCGGCTGCCGAAAACGCAACGGGTGCAAAAGTCGGTACGAGGGGAGGAGGAGAGAAAACTGTCTCTCTCTCTCTCTCTCTTTCTCTCTTTTCGTTGGCCGTTCGTCGTCGGACAACTAGCGTCGAGGGCCAACTCGGGGCAGAGCGCTGCTTGGGGCTGGCCGCGCCGCGCCGCCATAAATTTCTCCGCTGAATTCGAAATTCGCCTCTTCGTCGAGGCCCCTGCGCACGATCACGCGAACAGAGGAGGTAACGTCGATGTCCGAGTGATCGCTCGGCGATCTCGCGGCTGCGTGGGACGCCCGGCAGATCTCGATGTGTGGAGATTTCGAAACGGAATCGCCGACCGATCTCCTTCCTCCCTTGCGACGCCGCGACGACCCATTCCTGGCGTGGGACACGACGATAGAGAAGAGATTTGAAAGATTTTTCTACTTCTGAAGATTGAAAATTATCTAGAAATTTCTCTAGTATCGTAGATCGTTGATGGCCTATAGTTTGAAGAAATGCAAGAAATGTAGTGGGAGAAGCGTGAGGCGTTTTTCTTTTTAAAAGGAAAAGAAAGAGCGAAAAACGGAATCGATTTGAGTTGATTGTTAAAAGGAGTTTATTTAAATTGTAACTGCGTATATTAGTTGTTAAATTCTGTATTTTTTATCTTGTTCAATCACAAGCATTGTTATTAAATATTATTCATATTTAATCATTTCTAGACTACATTTCTAATTTAGAGAAATAGCTTATTAGGTTTAGATCAGTGAACAATGGAAATTTACCGGAGAGTGTATTTGAAAATTTCTTTTCTTTTTTTTTTTATTGGAAACTGGCCAAATTTCACTCTACCGAAAAGTAGAAGAACAAAGAAGCAAAAGATTGTGGATTGAAAAGTGGAGATTTTCGTCGATATAAAATGATCGACAAGAGTTTAAAGTTCCATGAATGAACAGCAGGTTGCTCGTTCATTATATCAGAGTATCGAGACCGAAGGTTGAAGGGTTGGTGGCACGATCCGGTGTTGCTCTTCGTGGCGAGAGATGCTCGATAGGGATCGCGAGAGGGAATAACGTCGCCGGTAGAACCGTAAACAAAGGCTAAAAGCGTGGGACGATGAATGGAAAGTCTCACGGATATTCGTTAATTGTGCGGATTGAGCGTCGATCCCCTCGCCGTGATATCTTCGATTTTCTGCAATAACCGGCCATCTAGCCTCGTCCCCGCGAACATAAATTCCGCGGCCGGGACGATTCGCGGAATTCCACCCTTCGAACTCTAGGGTGTGGCTTAAATTTTTCGATACTGAGCATTTTAATCAAGATCAACGGCTACTTATGGACTGCGAATTTTTATGCAACTTCATGTTATTACGAAAAAAAACAAAAAAAAAAAAAATGGAATTTGCTTCATCTTTTAAAAATCGTAAAAAGTAGTTTTAAATATTCCAAAAAATGGAAATATTGTTTCACTGTGCAAAGAATACTCCACTTTAGAGGTTTCGCCTATCCTCGTATATTATGATATGCCTACGCAATTTGGCACTCTTAAATTTTCCATAAAATATTTATTTAAAAGACAGCTATCTGCTTGACAAAAACAGTTCACATATCAGATTTTCGACCTTGTAATCTCCAATCGTAAGAGCGAAGGATGTCGAAATGTTCTAAAAATGTGTACCATTGATAAAATTCACTCGGGAGTGAAAAACCGGTGAAAAACGAAATTTTTTCGTCTGTGATAATTGACTTGAGAACGAAGAAATCTAAAAAAAGAAAGGAGAAAAAAAAACATACGAGGCGATCTCCTCGGACCGGGGAACTTCCGGCGCCCTTAATTGCGCCGAAGGCTTATTAGACGCGGCGGCGACTGCGTATGCACGCATGCAAATGCGGCCACTTGCGCGTTTTAATATGTATATTTTGTATATACTTGGTGTGCATATTGATGTGCATACAATGGCGGACATCCTAATGAGATGCGAAGGGTTCTCCTCGGACAGTTAAAACGAAAATACCCGTTTGATGGCCACCAGATGCTAATTATCCTACCTTGTAACAATTGCATTAACATTATCGCATAACGAATCGAACGTTCGCGAAGAGAAAAAAAAAACGATGGCTATAATAATTCTGCGAATTCGAATTGAGAGGCGTTCCGATCATCGATTAATTGCCACGCGAGTGTTTAATTAGTCGCCTCGAACGGCTCGCAATTGGCACCATCGAGTGAAAAGTACCTCTTGTTAATCAAATCGGTGCTTTCGAAACGACGATCGATGATAAAGTCCAAACTCTTGGATCTTAAACTCCAATGATCGTCCCACGATATTTCAACGAAATGCATTTACTCGTGTGCATATGGCTCAGAGCTTATTAATTTTGAGAACGATTCTCGTTCCATAATGGGAAAATAATAAATACAAGACAATGAACGTCAGATGTACCGCTTATCATTTACGATCGTACGATATTCTAGCTTACGTGTGGTCTCATCCTCAAAGGACACTTTACGAATGATAAACTACCGCTAATTAACCCATCAAGCATCACACATACCTATTCGTACGTACGTACGTACATCCGTTTAACCGGTAGCCCATTCTCGATAATATAGCTGCCCTCCCCGTCTCATCAGAGTTTGGTCATTACTACATGCATTTGCTATTTCAGACGCAATTATCTATTAATCATACCCTTCGACCGCTTCGTTGGCTGCTGACCTCCTAATAGCGACTGCGCAACGATAATTGTCGAGCATGATCTTGAAAGATCGTATCGTCCATCCTCACCCCTTTGGTATCCTGTTCCCTGTGGATCTTACGTGCTAGCATCGATCTCTTGGAAATGATCTCTAAAATCTTTTCGATATTCACGTATCATTCATTTTGGAAGATAAGCACTTCGATTTGTCAAGGTCAGAACATCGTTTCGAGCGAATCGTCACTTTTTTTCTTCCAAGTAAGGAAATATATACTAGAATAGATATTACTAGATATTCCTATTATATTATTTCCCCCTTCTCTATTATTTATATATATCCCCTTCGATATTTCTATTACATTATTTGAATGATTTAATTCTGAAATGTATCCTCTACATCTGTAAAGAAATTCCTCCAAAATCGATACATATATAAATATTATGTAACTCTTGGTCGTGTTGCCCTTTTTTCCAAAAATATTCTTCTAATATAACAAAGTGTCGTCTAACGAATTTCAAAATATCTCAAACTAACTCACATGCACAATTTTCTATGTTAACATCAAACGATACAATACAAAATGTCTCTCGTTTGGAACAGGAAAGGTTAATCTACCAAAACCAGAGAGAGAGAATTCAAATCATTATCATAGAGAATCACCTCCTCTGCCCAAGTACTCTCTTTGCACGAGTATCCACGTATGATCCACGGCTCGATCCCGGCCTGTGAACCATCCGAATGCCGATCGGTGCTCGTGCAGAAGCTCAGAAGCGAAAAAGCATGCCGTGGTACGACGCCGCGTCGACGGTGCTCACGTGATGGAGTAAGAAATCGCGAGACCGCGTGATTTAGGAAGGAGAGTCGTTAATCAAGCGGTCGAGTTAGAAGTCAACAGGTGCGAGAACGAAGCGGCCGGCTGGTTCTCTCGCATGGGACACGCATGCCGCGTGTGTGTCACGGACCTGTGTCTTTGTATAGATACACGCCTCTTGTACCGACCGTGCACGGGATTAGGCCTGTAGAAACTGGGACGAGCCTCTCGAGCCCGCTTCGTTTCCTAGATGCGGATGAAATCTAATATTTCACGGCATTTCGAGACACTTTTATTTGTCGCGTCTTGGATATTTTTCATTTTGGAGATATTGAGTAATGATCTGTTGCACGCTCGAATATTTGTGTTGTGATTTTACTGCTGTTTCAACAAGAAAGAAAGCTTTTGATGCTTTGAGGAAGACTTTGTTTAAAATTGACACTTTGATCGTATGAAGTGCCCGCAATTATAATACAGAAAAATATTTGTGGAAATTTTATAGAAGAGAAGAGAATATTTTACACAGATCTCTATGGAGTAACAAGAAGTAATAATTTTCATTTTTCTTTTTTTTTTTTAAACATATTTCATTGCTTTAGCATTAAATACATGTTCTATATTTCAAAATGATTATCACTTAAACTTTCATTTCCACTGCCTTGATTAAAAATAAGGAACGCAACAAGATTACTATAGATTACAACAGATTAATTACGCGGTGTTACAGCATCATTAAATTCCTTCATTATCTATCAGTCAAAAGCAATCGATAAGCATCAAATGCGGTGAGAGTAAATTCGGTCGAACATTGAGATTAGCGAACGAATCAGCCGGATGAAGTCCGACGCGTTAAAACGCGGTTAAACGCGGCGCGTAAATTGCGATCGACGCAATCGATAATAAAATTTATTGTCTCGCGGCGATGCACCGCCGATTAGCCGATTCCCTCGTGGAAACCGGTCTGATTCCATCGTCCATGCGGATGTTCGGTGGCTTTTCGCCTGCGCTCCGCGCAGATAGCAATTTTCTCCTGGTAATTATCACTTTAAAGGCCAGATACCCGGCTCGCATTAATAACGCGGAAAATGCACGGCTCGCTTGCAACGCGCTGGCTCGATCAATTGCCTCGCTACGTGAATTCATCATCGAGATTACCCTAGCTTTATGGGTCGTTGATTAAGCGATACGTTTACAAAACACTACGCGCGAACCTCTCTCGTTTCGCGCTAATTCTTCGAATCGACTTTGGTTTTAACTAGATTTGAATGAATTCGTCGATGGATTCTTGTACATTTATGGGGAAATTATCGGCTGAGAAAATTCGAAATTGTATAATTTAGTGGAATCGTGTCAACAAGCAGGGTTGAATTCATATTGCTGAATCATTGATTGACTGAAGGAAAATTACCAATTAAAATTCTGCATTGACGCGACATCAATTCCCTTTCCGTTTATCTATTGTTACAATAATTAAAAAAAATAATATATCGAAAATAACAAAACGCGTTGCAACGTTTGATGTTACAAGTGAAACAAAATTTTCTACGATATGAGAATATACACCTATCAAAGAAATATTAAGCAAATTCTTAATGTTGGCAAGCTGACTCGGAAGAAACTACAACTTCGTCATATTTAAAAAAAAAAAGCTCGAAACATCATTATCTCCTCTAGAAAAATCACGAATCCTCTCTGTACGTCAGAACGAAAAGCAAGATGAAAACACGAGAGTTGCAATATCGTTAAATGAACGCATCTCGATACTCGTCTTAGGCAGAAGCGCGCCTAAAATACCAAGAGGATGTTGCCTAACACCCTAGGACAGAGAACTGTATTGTGTAGAATTCGGAGGTGGACATGGATGGAGGACGGTCGAACAGTCTGACAAACTAGCGAGGCATCGACTCCTCTTCTAAACGCTTTCTAACGGCGTCTTTAATCACACTCGGCAACATCCTCGGCGAGGATCCTCGGTTCCTCGGCGAGGAGAAAGGGACCGCGAACAGAGTCGACGGTCCGTGCTACCGAATTCCCGTGACAAGGTACAAGGAACTGTCAGACGACGAACTGCGAAGAGGCGAGGAGGGGGAGGGGGAGAGAAGGATCCCTTTTGCAAGAGGTACGGTCCTCTCAGAGGAGGAAGAAGGAAGGGTGGAAACGGGCTGGCAAACGCATTTGTCGGCTGTTGGCCCGGTTCTCGTTGCTCTTTCGCCAGCAGGAAAGATTAGTGGTCCTAATTCCCGTGCTCGTTCGCTGCACAGGAAATCCCCCGAACGGTAGAGAGACACGTCTCTCACTTGACTTCGGCCTTCCTGCGAGTCGCTCGAGCCGCAACACGAGGGGCAAGGTACACGGACAGGCCGAGCCGAGAGTGGAGAGAGGAGAGACGAGAGACGAGAGGAGAGTGAAACACACACGGACGAGAGTTATCTGTTCCGTTTCTTCGGGACCTGTAGGTAGGAGTGTAGGTTACGAGTGTCCGAAAGCGGAGGCCACGCTCGTGCTGGCTACCGTAAATGTAAATATCCTACGCTCTCCGCATTAACATACGTCCCCGCAGGCTCATTAAGGATGAAATTAATTATCCAATGGAATCGTTTCTCGTGCTGCATGCCTAAAGCTGCGGCGCGAGACAAGCGGGAAAAACTGAACCCTCGAGCGGATCGCTGAAGGGTTCTACGTTGCTTCTGCGTCCCGGTGTCTCTTTTCAGAATTTCTCGCACGAGAGTTTGTTTCGTTTGTCATTGGCAGTGTCCATCGTAGTTGGCTCGATCGATCGATCTCCTCTGTTTCGGAAGAAGGAGAAACGATTTGTAGCTTCGAAAGACATTTTCTTCCATCCAACTGTGACATCGCTGGGAAATTTATCCTCAATATCTAATTCTACGAAGGAAAGGTGGTATTCTTTGCTCTCGCATGTTCGTTTCTTCTCGTCCGAATCTTCGCTCGTATTTTTAAAACAAAGTCGCACTAAAGAATTTCAAGTATTGAAGAGCTTAATCTTATTGATACGTGCAATTTGTAACTACCGATACAAGACAGATGGTAGTTGAATGATTTACGATTGAAATTACTACACGCAATTGATTCCTCGATTGATTCCTTATCTTTAACACATTCCAATCTCTATTACACGATAATCGTGCTGTATACTTATGACTGCAATAAATATATGAAATTTTTAGACTCGTCTTAAATTCCTGTCTCTCCGTGCCCATACTGTGAACGTGTCTGATAAAATTTCAAAATACAGTTTCGAAACACTTTTCTGAGGAAATTGAGAAGCTTGGGAAACGCAAAGGAAACCAGAGATTCCAGAATACAGCGAGAGAGCATCGTTCCTCCTCGAACGAACGATAAGACGGTTAACTGGCGTGTTCGCGCTTAAAGGTGGCGCCAATCGATGAATTATCGCGCGTCGCGCGCGTAAAGCAATCAGCACTCGCGAAGAAATCACTGGGAGACTTAGAGCAGCAATTATCCTAATGGATGCAAAGTCACACCCTGCTGTCTGCACCGGGCATGGTAATGAGTTGATATCACCGCATACCAGGACCTTGTATCCTTCCAAGTCCTGTTCGAACCACCGTCCATCCCCCACTTCTCTCGCCGTTCTTCCTTCGTTTCGTCCCTTTTTCTCCCACCTATCTTCCGGCGCATCTTTTCGCCTCGCCTCGCCTCGTCCTTCGTCGTTCGCGCCACCGAGCGTACAGAATTCACTCACTCAGCCACGAAAATCACGTTCACACTCGAGCTCCGTTTGACCACGTTCGCCACAGAGATAACACGTACCGGGGCAACCAGACCAATCGGTGATCGCGATTCTCGATTTTCAACGGAGAATTGTATTTTATTTGGTCGGGAGTGTCTCTGTCTCGTGTTCGCCTGGTGAGCGAGGAGAGTTTTTGGAATTTATGTAGATCAGAGGTTGATTTTCATACGGCGTGAGGTTGGATTTCTTCTTCTTTTTCTAGATTCTGTATTTTTTTTTTTTTTTTTTTTTTTACGTGAAATTAGAGTTCCCTTGTTCAGGATTTGGGATTTGGGAAGAATCAACTAAATTTTCCCATCTTCTCTATCTCTGATTTCTTCGTACTTGAAATTGGATTTCAACTGTTGTTCAAACTGTGTTTATAGGAGGGTTAATTACGAGCATCGAGCCTAAACGGGTTAAGAAACTCGTGCCGTGCCGAGCAAACCGCTTGAAATGGCTTCGCACTTGTCACTGACCACCGTTATCTTCTCTCTTCTTAGAAGGTGTTCGTAGGGTGACAGAGATACTCGGAGCTCATGACCTCTACCTGCTGCTACACCTTCGCTGCCGCGGTTCTCCACGCGATTGCCTGCTCACGATTCGTTGGAATCTCGAGCAAGCCGCTGTTTATTCAACTCTGTTCGCGTATGATCAATTCCAAAGTAACCTCTTTAAATCAAGAGATTTATCAAGAGTCGATCGACTCTTTCCAGACGTTTGTATCCTTGAAATTTAAATTAATCAGATAATTGCAATTAATTACCTACAAATCATCAACTTCATCGACTCGGTTGTCACTTGCTTCTCTCGAATTTTTTATACTTTGAGACTGAAAATATTTAAATATGCAATTAATTAATTCTCTTCTTCCAATAATTTATTGATGCACACGATTTTACCTTGGCACTTCACAAAAAGAAAAAAAAA